AAACCCACTCCGTGTGGGTTGGGCTCGGTGTCACCGAAGTCCAGGCGACGTTAGACAGGCAGTCCACGTTACTTGGGGGGGCGGGGCAAGAGGAAACCTTCAGGAATCCTCCGAGAATCCTATCGGAATCCGCGAGAATTCGTGTCAGCATCCTACCATGGTCTCGGTGGGATCCAGCACTCGGGGTTCTGGGGGCGGCGTGTCACTCCCAGGGACTGGACAGCGATATACGTCCGCGAAAAAGGGGGCTCGATGATTGCCAAGAATGGGGCTGGCACTATATAGATGTCCTCCTTGGAGGAGTGCGTCCTGCCAGGCCATATACTGCGTGGCGATATCATAATAGATCGTTGCCCCTGCGGCATGGCAGGAAAGCGCCCGCCACCGAGCACATGCTCGAGGAGGAGAAGGAGGAGGAGGAGAAGGAGGAGGAGGAGGAGGAGGAGGGGGGAGAAGGAGGAGGAGGAAGAGGACGAGGAGGAGGAGGCCCGTATCAGAAGGAGGGGCGGTGAGGCTGCAAGGGCCCTGGAAAGCCATTTGCGTAGTTTCTCGGGCGGGGCGCGGCCAGCGACAAGTGGCCACGGCTGGGCCGAGGAGGCAAGGATGCAGAGGCACCCTTGGGAAAGCTGCCCACCCTTGCCATGCAAGTCGACTGCAGTCCCCAAAATGTTGCGTAGTGTTCGCTTCGTCGTGGCAAAATCCAAAGGATGGTTGTTCGTCGATTTCGGCCTCTGGGGGCCCCCGCGGGGCGCCCGGACCGTGAAAAAACAGTTTGGGGCGAAAAGCCGGCCCGAGAAGCTGGGGGACCCGCGCTGCAAAAAAAAATCGAAACGCCGGATGTCTCTGCGCATCGCTTGACCGATCCCAGTCTCAAGACGCGCTCGCGTCGCGGGAGGAAGAGAGGGGGGCAATGAAATGTTGATGTACATGTTCTGCCTTTGGAGGTCCTCGCCGGGTAATGGTACCGTCAAACACAAGTGACGGTGACAAACCGCCCCTGGGGTAAGAATCGGAATTTCTGGGGATCCTCCATTGGCAAAATCCAGAGATTTTACCGCTTGGTCCGAACGACTCTTAGCCGATCCCTATCCCCACGGCATGGCCTTGGCCACAGTGCTAGACCTACGCACCTGAGATATGGGCGTGGTTATAGTTGTTTTCACCATGAGCGTTTTCCCCAAGTGTCCAGACCCCGGACAATCACAGACCGCTGTGGCTCGAATAATTCCGCTGGAAGATGGGGGTCTTGACACTCTGGTCGTGCGTTGTCGCGACTTCGCAGTTTTTTTTCGCGACGTCGAATCTCAGTGCATCCCCTACGGCAGGGCCTTGGCCACACTCGCAGACCTACCCACACTGTGTCCTTCGGGACTCGCGGGACTCATCCACGCCTACGAGGGTGGGTTGGCGGGGCTGATATCCCGTGGTCCAGCGGGGTTGGACGACGCTGCGCGCCTCAGCCATGGCCCGGTAGTCCTCCACGCGGAGCTCGCTCCAGACGCGGGACTGCCAGTCCTCGGGGCCGGGCTCCTTGGCGGCGCGCGGAACCCAAGACCCCCTTGCGCGGTTTAAAAAAAACACGGCGGGATTTTGCCCGATGTCGGGCCGTCAGGGGCCCTCGCAAATCGAGCGGGCTCGGCAGATGCCGCAGGCTCCGGTCGCGATTTCCCACGATGTCGCAAGTGTTCCCGACGTCGGGAACGGGGCGGGGTAACGAGCTAAACGGGCTTCCGAAGAGGCCGAAGCTCACGTCGCGCTACGAGAAGAAATGCCGATCGAAGAACTACCCCGTCAACTTTCTGGTCATACCCGACAGCGCACCTTGTCAAGTCCAGCCAACCGGCTAATCTTGCATTTCTTCTACACAAACAATTACAAGTGCGCGTATACATACATATATACATTGTCATACACGAACTGCGAACATGCACCAGATCGGGATTGAATATAATATACGCACACGCCGATTTACATATGTAACAATAATAAATCAATTGGTCCCCCTATTGAAAGCAAACTGACCTGGCACAACCCCAAGCCCGCCAAGGGAGCCCGATCCTGGAGCGCCCAAGGAGGGCCCAAAACAGCCCCAGATGGCCCCGAAACTGCCCCAGAGGGCCCCAGGAAGCCCCACGGGGGCCCGACGGGCGCCCCGTGACGGCCACGATGGGCCCAAGCTGCCCCGAAATGGACCCCTGATGGCCACTCGACGGCCCAACGGCCAACGGGTTCCTCAGGCCACGCGGGCCATTCCAATGGCAGGGGGCGGCGGTGTTTCGCCACAGCATGCATGCATATATATATATATATATATATATATATATATATATATACACACACACATATATATATATATATATATATGTATGTATGTACGTGTGTGCGTGTATATACATATATATATATATATGTACATATGTGCATACATTCGCACACACATACATACATACATACATACATGCATAAACATGTACATATGCATATACATATACATGCAACTATACATATACAGATACGAATACATATACAGATACACTCACGTAACATTTAAAAATATATATACATATACAACTATAAATACATATGCACATGCATATGCATATACCGAAATCTATATATATATATATATATATATATATATATATATATATATAACATGTATATGAATATAAAAAATATAATGTTTGTGTATGTGTATGCGTGTACGTATGCGTATACAAATGAACATACATGTACACACATAAACATATACAGATACATCGGCATATACATAAACATGGACATAGACATATACCTAGACATATACATAGACCTTTACGTATACGTACACATGCACATACTAGAACCATCGCGAGCCTTTCGCGCGCGAACTCACGCCCCACTTAAGCCTGATAGGCAATTTGTTTCAATATCATGTCGGTCGTTTCTTGCGACCACGGAATTCCTTGGAGGCCCTGCGCGAACCTCGGAATCGCATAGAAAGGGAGGCGCGGAAGCGCAGAAATCATAAATTTCCTCCAGGCGCTCAACGATTCGGGGCACTCAAATATTTCCTGGGTTCTTTTTTGGGAGGCGAGGGGGTCTGAATTGCGGCTCGTCGCGCAAGAAGTGGACCGGGGGCCAAACTTGGGGAAGGGGGGGAATTCCACTTGTTTCTATTTCCTCGGCGCTGTTCGTCTCGCGGGCTTTGCAAGGCGGGCCCCTCCAGGACGCGGGATCTCCCAGACCCCCGGGGGTTCTGGGGGCCTCCTGGAGGCCTGGGGAGCCGCCGGGCGTCCCGGGCTGCGCGGGAGCGCGCTGGACCGTTCTCTACGTTCCACGGGCCTCTCGGGCCACGGGGTCGCATCGGGTTGTCCTCGGGCGCTTCGGGCGCCCCTCGGGCGCCCCCCCGGGGAGCGGACGGCGCGGCGCCGGCCAGATGTCAGCGGACGCGCGGGATCTCCGAACAGAAATCCAGTTTCGCTGGAATTGCCTTGTTTTTCTCGAAACCCTCGATCATCGAGGGCCGGCGGGGGGACGACGAAAAACATCTCACAAACCACCGTAGCTGAACGATCACATCCTCTGCGGCAGCTCTCTCGGAACGGCTCTCGCAGCTCTCGGGCCGTCCTCGGGAACGGGGCCGCGTCGGGCGCCTTCGGGGGGCCCCGGGGGCCTCTCGGAAGCCCCTCGGAAGTTTCCGGGCGCCCCCTGCCCCCGCTCTCGGGCCCCCTTCGGGTCGGCCCCGGGGCGGTCTGGGGCGCGGCACCTGGGGCTGGGGGGGGGCGGTATTTCGTCCAATTCTACACATATATATATATATATATATATACACGCGCACACACGTTCGCACACGCACACATCTACATAGACAAGCGCTCACGCGCGCAGACACGCGCGCGCGCACGCGCGCTCGCGCGCACGCCGCGCGCGCACACACACGCACACACACGCGCACACGCGCAGACGAACGAGCAGCCAGACAACCGCGCGGACACGCGCACGCGCACACACACGCACGCGTTCGCGCGCACGACTAACGCACATGAGCACGCGCACATCAACACACACACACACACACACACACACACACACACACGCACCCACGCACCCATATTTCCACGCACGCGCACACACACACACACGCACACACGCACACACACACACAAACACTTCCATAAATACATACGTGCCCGCACGCACACATACAAACACGAACACATACACTTGCGCGGACACAGATGCATCGAAACGCACGCGCACGCATGCACGCAAACACACATTCAAACATACACGTCGTCGCGCGCGGGGGCGCGGCATGTCGTCTTGTAGGCGGCATTCCCAAAGTACTCGAGGTACTTCCGGACGGCGCAGTCGGCGTGCTCGGCCAGGAAGAACCACCCCAGCCTGGACTGCTGGAACACACGGGAAGAAGAGAAGGAGAAGGAGAGGGGGGGAGAGGGGGGAGGGGGAGAAGAGGGGGGGAGAAGTGGGAGGGAGGAGAAGAGGGAGGGGGGAGAGGAGGGGGGGAGAAGAGGGAGGGGGGAAAGAGGGGGAGAAGAGGGGAGTAGAGAACAGGGAGGGGGGGAGAAGGTGGGAGGGAGGGAGGGGGGGAGACGAGGGAAAACGGATCTAGGAGGGGGAGACCTCCTCCTCCCCCCCCCTCCTCCACCTCCTCCTCCTCCGCCTCCTCCTCCGCCTCCTCCGCCTCCTCCGTCTCCTCTCCTCCTCCCTCCTCCCTCCTCTCCTCACCTCCTCCTCCTCCTCCTCCTCCTCCTCCACTCCTCCTCCTCCTCCTCCACTCCTAATCGTCCTGTTCCTCTCCTCCTCCTCCTCCTCCTCCTCTCCTCCTCCTCCTCCTCCTCCTCCTCCTGCTCCTGCTCCTCCTCCTCCTCCTCCTCCTCCTCCTCCTCCTCCTCCTCCACTCCCTTTTTCTTCCTCGACCCTGCTCCGGGGCGCGCCGCCCAGCTCCTCCGGGAGCTCGCCGTCCTCGGGGTCGGCACCGGCCACGCCGCTCGAGGTCAGGGCCTCCCCAGGGGGGCGCTGCTGCCGGGGGGGGCGGGCGGCCGGCCCGCGGGGAGGAGGAGGAGAAGGAGGAGGAGGAGGAACAGAAGGAGGAGGAGGAACAGAAGGAAAAGGAGGAGGAGGAGGAAGAGGAGGACTAACAGAAGGAGGAGGAGGAGGAGGAGGAGGAGGAGGAGGCTCTCGAGCTGAGCAGTGTCGTTCGTTGTCGCTTTGACTGTCGTTTTCCCTCGCTCTGTCTGTGCTCGTTCTGCCTCTGCTGCGGAAGGAAACGCGCAACGACGAAACCAACCCACGGAATCGCCAGAGCACCGTTCAGCTCGAGCCCTGCAGTGGAAGGGGAAGGGGTAAGCGGCGCTGCTGCAAGGGGGGGATCAGTCGGGGGGGAGGCGGCAGCGCGCACAGAGGCGATACAGTCAGACCCAGATCAGAAGAACATCCTTCAAGAACATGAGACCCTACGCCGGCCCAAAACTGAAGATTATCCAGGGGTGCCCTCCCCAGGATGCACAAGAACATCCAACAAGCACGAAGAAAATTAGGGCACCCTCCCCGAACCGACCACGATCTTATATCTTGGTCCGACCGTAGGGGGAAGGGGGCAAGGCTTCTTAGGAGGCTGCTTCTTAGGAGGCTGCTTCTTAGAAGGAGGCTGATTCTTAGAAGGAGGCTGCTTCTAAGAAAGCGCCGCCTTCTGAGAGGCAGCCTCCTTCTGAGAAGCCTTCCCACCACCACCCCTATACCCCTCTGCGCGTGGCCGAGCGGGAAGAAAAAAAACGTGCACTTTTCGCGCCACTCTTAGGCCTCAGGGGGACCCTCGAGAGCACGACAATGGCACCTCTTGTTTGAAGGGGCTCCCCATGGGACCCCAAAGGTGCACGCTCCCTGAGATCCGAGGCTGCGAAGAAATCGCCACATCGTGTAAAACCACAACCGGAGCCCCGGAGCCCAGCTTCCTGCGTCCTCTCTTGAGCCAGATGGATCTGTGAGGGTCCCGGGGCTCGAGATTGGGCGAAGACGCCCCGTGCAAAAAAAATCTGCAACGCCAGGATCTCGGGGCCTCTCCCTCCCAGTCTATAGAGGGCAGAAAATCCATCCCGATAAGAACCAGCCCGACACGCGAAGCCGTTCAGCAAACGCACCCAGAGCAGGAATCGAACGGGGCAGGGCGGTTTCGTAAACGCCCAGAGCCGCTTGGCAAACGCCAATTGTCCGGTCTGGGTGGTTTTCCTCCCTTGACAGCCACCGCCCCCCCCACTAGGCAAGCGCGTTCCACTACTCGCAAAGTAGCTGCTCGCAAATGGCCTGGATCCGACAAGAGGGATTTACGACACTTTACGTAGATGAGGACATGTTTTGTACTGACGCTTGCGAGGAGGTACTTCTTTGCGAGTAGTGGAACGCGCTCGGTGACCCACTGCGCAACGCCCGAGAGGTCAGGGCCTCCAGCATCGCCGGCAGCCGGTCACCCCAGAACGCCTCGACCTCCCAGATGCCGGCACTGGGGCCGCTCCCGCGGAGGGCGTCGGCGGGGCCCGGCGGACTCTCGCGGCGGGCAACGACGCACACCTCTGGAGGAACAGACAACGGCACGCAGCGCAGAAGGAGCCCCGAACTGCACAGGCAAACACTCTGGGAGATCTCCCCCCGCAGACCCCCCCTCGCGCGGTGCAAAAACCACGACGAGAGGCTCTGCACTCAGTTCGGCCTCCGGGGGTCTCAGAACCGTCAAAAAACGACTCGGGATTGAAAAGGCCCGTCCAGGGGCAGGGGTCCAGACCTCTGGGGGTCGACGCTGCGAGAAAATAACGACGTCGGGCGTCTGGGCGCGTGTGCCTTGGCTCGGCGCGGGGCCCCCCTCCCCGGCGCGCCTCGCATGCTCATGCTCTCGGGAGCGGAGCGGGGAAGGGCGGAGCGGAGCGGCGCCGACGTCGCCCCCAGGGCGTCCCGTGGGGGGGGAACGGTGGGTGCGCAGGGGCGTCTCAGCTGGACCTCGGGACGCATGTCGATTCCGTACTCCTGCAGGAGGAGGAGGAGGAGGAGGAGGAGGAGGAGGCGGAGGAGGAGGAGGAGGAGGAGGAGGAGGAGGAGGAGGAGGAGGAGGAGGAGGAGGAGGAGGAGGAGGAGGAGGAGGAGGAGGAGGAGGAGGAAGGGAGGAGGAGGAGGAGGAGGAGGAGGAGGTAAGTTATTCCCTCGATCTCGGGCTCTCCGACCTCGGCCTCTGGCGCCCGGCATCGGGCCCCTCGGCGCCATGTCAGAAGCGGATCGGGGGCGGAGGACGAGCCCCAGGGGAGGGGGCCGGGGCCTTCTTTCGGCGGTGGACAAACCTCCCTTTAGTAGACCTCCCCTTACTGAAAACGGCCTGGGACCGAAATCGACGGACCTGGACCGGCAAAAATGACGGCCGCGACGCCCTCTCGCGAAACGAAAACAGCCAATTCCTTAATCGACGTGTCAGGGTAGGAGGTCTGTCCATCCCCGATTCTTGGGGCCGCGCAGCGCAAAACTTTGACTCGGTGGGCGCAGAGGCCTCCCAAAGGAGGTCCGAGAAGATGGGGCGAAAGGATCGCGCCGCATCGCCGATGCATCGCCGATGCATCGGCGATCCATCGGCGACGTCGGCGAAAAAGAGGCCGAGCTCCACGTCGAGCCGTATCGGCGATGCGTCGGCGATGCGGCGCGATCCTTCGACCCCATGCGCTACAGAGAAGCAAAGAACTGCATAAGCATAAACATACGCGGTCGGGGGTCCGCGCGGATCTCCGAAAGTTCGTTTATTCCCATCTGTGGTCTTCGAATATACTCGGAGTCCATTTGGGAGGCCTCGAAATGTCAGGGCACCTCTGGCAGCCCGTGAGAGTCGAACATGACCGACAGGTCGAACCCGACCACGCCGTCGGTCCAGCTGGCGGGCATCTGCCGCAGCACGCTGTTGGCGGTCTTGCAGGCCTCCGACGCCTTCCTCGCCTGGAGGCGCACAACAAAAAAAACATAAACATACACTTTCGGGGATCCCCGCGGAGTTCTCGGATCGGCGCTGGGCCCCCCATGGTGGCGCCTCCGGCGCCGCCCCTGGCGCGCTCCGCGCGCCAGGGAGGGAGGGTCCCGGCGCAACCCCGAGAGGAATCTGCGCGGCGCCCCTGGTGGCGTTTTCTATTCTGGGTTTCAACGTTTGGCCGAAGGGTGGGGGGTGGGGGGGGGGTACGGGTCTGGACCGGTGCTTAAATCGATCTGCCTTTGCCATTCGCGCCAGCAGACTGGGGAGAAGGATCCTGACCAGTCACCTATAGCAGCCGCCAAAAGCAGACAAGGTTTGAGTCGGGCGTGTCCCCCTACAGGCGGATTCTGGACGAACAATGAACAATACCACCAACAACAACAACAACAACAACAACAACAACAACAACAACAACAACAACAACAACAACAACAACAACAACAATGCTCAAACATAGCCCAAAGATACTCCAAAAATAGTCCCCAAATCATTTTTGGACTATTTTTGAATACTCCTCCCGTAGAGGGACAGGCCCGACTCAAGACAGGGTCCAAAAGTGCATGGTTCTGCCGTTCCATCCTCCTCGATCGCCTGCGCAAGCAGGCGCCCCGCCGCCTCCGGCCCGAAGTCCGCCCTCGCCAGCTGCATCGCCCTCTGCACGCCCCTCTCCCACTGCGGGTCCACCTCGGCACCCGCCGAGATCTCCTCTTGACTGCCCACCAGGCCACCCCAGCCCAACCCGAAGGCCCGAACTCGACCCGAGTTTCGGGTTGGATGGGGGGGGGTACGGGTTCCACGTGTTCTTTCAACGCTCCCCGACCCCCATCCCCCACCAGAAATGGAGGGCAGATTGTTGGAGGCCTGGAAATTGGCACCAACACCAGCGCAGGGGGGTGCCTCCATGGGGGGGAAGATGATGCAAGATTCTGGCGTGGGTGGTAATATTTCGGCCACCCTGGAAGCCAGAATATGACCACCATCACCGAGATCGGGATCTCCTTCCCTCCGTGGAGGCACACCGCCGAGACTGGTGCTGGTGCCAACCTCCAGGCCTGCGAGATTGATGGCTTCGGGTTGGGGTCGGGGGTGGTCTGGCGGGCGGCGCTCCTCCATGGCGCGCTCGAAGTTGCCCTCCTCGGGGCGCGCGGCGGCGTCCTCCGAGGCGCTCCGCGCCCGCGGGATCTGGGCCTGGAAGACGCGCCGAGGAGCCGAGAGAAGCTGCAGAGGCGCCGACCGTCGGAGCCCCGCGCGGGCGTCTCGGAGCGGCGCTGGGACCCCCCCCCCCTCTGATGGGCGTGTTTTCCACCACCACCACCACCAGCTGGAGGGGGAAGGAGGAGGGGGAGGAGGAGGAGGAGGAGGAGGAGGAGGAGGAGGAAGAGGAGGAGGAGGAGGAGGAGGAGCAGGAGCAGGCGGAGGAGGAGGAGGCGGAGGCGGAGGAGGAGGAGGAGGAGGAGGAGGAGGAGGAGGAGGACCCCCTCCCACTCGAACTTGTGGTGGTGGTGGTGGAAAACAAGCCCATCATCCATGGCGCGCGGAGCGCACCGAGGCGCCGCGAGGGGTGGGGCGCAGAGGAGCACACTGGTATAGCTAGCACGCTGCGCCCCATATTGGAGGCACACGTCCGAGCCGGCCATATGGCACAATCGCCACAGAGTATCCCGTTCTATGGGCAGCGAGCACCAGCACGAGCGCGGAGCAGCAAGGCACACAGCATAGCGCTGCCAAGGCAGGACGGTCAGAACGCCCGGCACCGAGCATCTGCCTTGAGATCTCTGAGCGCGCGCGTCAACCCCCTGTGGGGCCCACGCAGCACGCCTGGGTGATGCCGAAGGCAGGAGAGCCCAGGATCGAGGAAATCGGCAGTCGAAATCGATCGGATCGGAGGAAATCGGCAGCCGAGTCGGGGAAAGCCGAATCGGCGGAATTCGGCAGGCTAGTAGGCATCCAGTGAGAAATCGGATCCCAAACCGGACTGCGAGGCCGAGTCGCATCGGAACCGGAACCAGTCGACATCGAAAATCGCGAATCGGAGGAACCGAAGTGAGCCCTGCGACGGGGGGGGGCAGCGCCGATCCGAGAAAGCCCCTCCTCCTCCTCCTCCTCCTCCTCCTCCTCCTCCTCCTCCTCCTCCACCTCCTCCTCCTCCTCCTCCTCCTCCTCCTCCTCCTCCTCCTCCTCCTCCTCGCGCGGAGCTCCGAAAGTTGCTGCCCTGTGCCGCCCTCCTCTCTCCCTCGCATGTAGGCACGGCCGACGGCGAGGCGGTCGCCGTGGCAGAGGCGCTGGCCCGCGGAGGCGTCCACCGCGAGGCCGTTCACGCGCACGAGCCCGCCGCCCAGCGGCCGCACGGTGAGCGCCTCATTCGCCTCGTTGGCGATCGCGCACACCTCCAGGGGGGCAGAGACCCAGACATCCAACGTATTGAAAAAAAACAAGACGGAGGTTTTTCGCAGAGTTCGGCCACTAGGGGCCCTCGTCGGGCCTCGGGATCGTAAAAAAATAACAAGCAAAAAACAACAACAAAAAAAACAAAACAAAAAAAAAAAAAATGAAAAACTGGTCCTGGGGAGTGGGTCGAGACTTCCAGGGACCCTGTATTGAAAAAAACATGACATCAGATCTCAGGGGAGTCCACCCCCAGAAGAGTAGATCGGGCGTTGCCAGGAGTACCCCTGGCCCAAGGTGCCCCCAGAATTCTCGGGGAAGCCCAGACGGGCTCCAGAGCACCCCCAGGGCCCCCAAAATGGAGCGAAAAGCTGGGGGCACCTTGGGCCAGGGGCACTTTTAGCAACGCCCGAATAGAGGGAGAAACAAGCACATAAGCAGAAACTTTCGAAGGTCTGCGCGGATTCCTTGGATTTGCGCTGGGCACCCCCCTCCTTGGCGCGCGGAGCGCGCCAGGGGCGGCGCTGGAGGCGCCGCCAGGGAGCCCGGGCGCGGATCCAAGAGATCCGCGCAGAGCGCCGAAGGTGTATTGTTCGGCAGTTTTTCTCTTCGAGGGAAAGAAAACGACTGAGGAGGAGTGCAACGCAAAAATACCGAGCTCAGCTTGAGAAGCACACAAGCGCCGGCCAGACGGAGGCCGCCCCGAAATAACTCGAAATATAACCACCCCGACACGCGGAGCCGTTTGGTAAACGCACCCAAAGAAGGAATCGAACAGGGCCGGGCTGTTCCGTAAACGCCCAAGGCCGTGTAGCAAACGCCACTTGTCGGGTCCGGGTGTCTTTTCCTCCCTCGAACCTCTGCCCCGATGTCAGAGGAAGACACCACGGCACAGCCATCAGCTTCCGGAGCTCCGCGCGGAGTTCTCGGATGGGCGCTGGGGCCACCCTGGCGGCGCCTCGGGCGCCACCCCTGCCGCGCTCCGCGCGCCAGGGCGGGGGGTCCTGGCGCAGCCCCGAGAGGAACCTGCGCGGCGCTCCTTTTGCCGTTTTTTATTCTGGGTTTCGACGTTTGGCCGACGGATGGGGGGTGGGAGGGGTATGGGTTTAAATCGGGCGTGTCCCCCTATAGACAGATGTTGGAGGAATATGTTTAACAATATTCCAAAAATATTCACAAATAATCCGAAAATGCTCAAAAAACATCCCATGACTATCATTTGACTATTTCCCTACCTAGGCTCTGCCTAGAGGGTTCTTACTCTCTTTCGTAAAGGGGCCGGGCAGTGCACACCGCCCCGGGCGGTTCCCCCAGTATCCGCCCCGCGGTTACCCCAGTTGCGCCCCCTGGGTTCACCCAGCTAAGCTAAGCTAAGCTTAGCTTAGCTTAACTTAGCGTATATCATATTAGCTTAGCTTAGCTTAGCTTCGCTTTGCCTAGCCTAGCTTAGCTTAGCTTAGCTTAGCTTAGCTTGGCGTGTATCATCGTAGCTTAGTTTAGCTTAGATTTAACTTAGATTAGCTTGGCTTAGTTTAGCTTAGTTTAGCTTTGCTTAGCCTAGCCTAGCTTAGCTTAGCTTAGCAAAGCTTTGCTTAGCATAGCTTAGCTTAGCGCAGCGCAGCATAGCGCAGCGCAGCATTCGCACAGCATAGCATAGCATAGCATAGCATAGCCAAGCATAGCATAGCATAGCATAACATAGCATAGCCTAGCATAGCTCAGTATAGCATAGCATCGCATCGCATAGCATAGCATAGCATAGCGCAGCATAGCATAGCATAGCGTAGCATTGCTTAGCATAGCACAGCGCAACATAGCATAGCATAGCGTAGCATTGCACAGCACAGCACAGCACAGCACAGCATAGCATAGCATAGCATAGCATAGCGCAGCATAGCATAGCATAGCATAGCCTAGCATAGTATATCATAGCATAGCATGGCATAGCGCAGCATAGCATAGCATAGCATAGCGCAGCATAGCATAGCATAGCATGGCATAGCGAAAACATGCGTGTGTGTGTGTCTGTGCGCAGGCAAAGCAAAAACAATATCAAGCAAAAGCAAAATCAAAGGCAAAGCAAAAGCAACAGTAAAAGCAAAAGCAAAGGCAAAGGCAAAAGAAAAGGCAAGAGCAAAAGCAAAGGCAATGCAAAGCAAAAGCAAAACCAATGCGAAAGTGTAGATGTAGATGTAGGTGTAGGTGTAGATGTGGATGTAGGTGTAGATGTAGATGTAGATGTAGATGTAGATATAGATATAGATATAGATATAGATATAGATATAGATATAGCTATAGACATAGATGTAGATGTAGATGTAGATGTAGATGTAGATGTAGATGTAGATGTAGATGTAGATGTAGATGTAGATGTAGATGTATATGTAGATGTAGATGTAGATGTAGATGTAGATGTAGATGTAGATGTAGATGTAGGTGTAAGTGCAGGTGTCGATGTAGATGTAGATGTGCGTCTCGCTGTTGATGTTGATGTTGATGTAGGTGCAGGTGTAGATGAAAATGTAGCTGTCGGTGTAGATGTAGATGTTGCTTTCCTAAATGCTCCAACTCCTAGATAGGGTTGCACTGGGATAATTTTGAATCTTCCTCCTGTAGAGGGACAAGCCCGACTTAAGCACGGGTCTGGACCGGTGCTGCATCGATCTGCCTCTACCAGCCGCGCCAGCAGACTGGGGAGCAGGATCCTGACCAGTCACCAACAGCAGCCGCCAGAAGCAGGCAAGATCTGGCCCGTGGGAAGGGGGGCGCGGGGGGGGGGGACGGGGGCCCGCGCAGGCCGGCGAAACGGCGAACAAAAGAACAGCGACTGCGTTCTGTGCCGCGGTGCTCTCCCTCCAGCTGTCCAGCCCCGTCAGAGTCACGCGGCAGCGCCGCCGCTCGGAGCCTACTGAAAGGCCTCCCAGGTGGGGTCCGAGCAGGTGGGGTCGGAGGCTCGCGCCGCGTCGCCGATGCATCGGCGATGCATCGGCGATGCATCGGCGACGTTGGCGACGCTCTGGCGACGTCGGCGTGAACACCATCAGGCCCCACATCGAGCCGCATCGCCGACGCGTCGGCGCTGCGGCGCCATCCGCCGACCCCCCTCTGCTTCGACCCCACTTGGGTGGCCTAGGCCTATGCAGGTCTCCCCGAGGGGCAGGTAGTAGACGAGGCAGCCGCCCAGGGCCGGGTCGGGGTGCAGGTTGACCAGCCGCGGCGCCAGGGGCAGGTCCTCCGCCTCGATGCCGACGGCGTGCATCCCCAGCTCGGCGAGCTCCTGCTCCCGCTGCCTCCGCTGCGCGTCGCGCTTCGCGTCGAGCTGCGCCTGGTCGAGGGCGAAGCTCTCCTGCACGCCCCTCAACGCCTCGATCTGCATCGGGGAACAAGCGGTGACAGAAGGGGCCCAAGGACACACAAATAAATATACACAAATAAAATAATTCCACATATGTTCTTATATTTTCTGGATTTTTGCCTTCCGCCCCATTTCCCATATTTTCCCATATTTTCTGGGGAATCGACGATGAATTGTGTCTGTGTGTTTCTTTCCCTCCTGAGTGACATCGACTGGAATCCTTCGGAGGTCTGCGCGGATCCCTCTCAGATCGGCGCTGGGCCCCCCTCTCCCAGGCGCGCGGAGCGCGACAGGGGCGGCGCTGGAGGCGCCGCCAAGGGGGGGCCCCCGGCGCCGATCCTAGAAATCCGCGCGGACCTCCGAAAATGTCGACGCGCTGCCAAAAGGAACGCCAAAGAAGCAACGAAACGGGTTTCCTGGCCGTGGCCACCCCAGGCCACGATTAGGGCAGGCTCCCCGACCCAGACCTAAAGAAGGGCCCAAAGTCCGAGCCCCTGCTGAGCTCAAAGTGGTTCTTGCTTCGGCGCCTCGAGGCTATGCTTATATTCGGCGGCGAGCGATGGGGGGGGAAGCGAGAAAGTGGAGGCCTCCTCAGAAGGCTCGGAAGTTCCCCAGACTTCTGAGAAGTTCTCTGAGCCTCCCCCGAAGACACAGGAAGCCTCTCAGAAGGCGCGAGGGCTTCTGAGAAGCCCTGTCGCCTTCTGAGGACGCCTCCTCCTTCTCGCTTTCCGCCCCCCTCGCTCGCCGCCGATGCATGCCACTCTTTGCTCCCCGATCTGAGACAGCAGCTCGCGCTCGCGCGCCAGCTGCGCCTCGCGCTCCCGCTCCAGGCGCTCCCGCAGCTCCTCCTCCCCGCGGTCGCCCCCGCGGGGAGGCTCCTCCGGGCCCCCCGGCTCCGCCGACTCGCTCCCCTCGGTCGACGCGGCGGCGGCGGCGGCGCCGCCGCCGCCCCGGACCGCCCAGCGGAAGCAGTCGGCGGTGTCCTCGATGGAGAACCTGGCGGAACCAAGAGATGTCGCCGTTCGCATGTTTTTTCCCAACCGTCCCGTGGTGTCGGGCCCTCGTTTGGAAGAGGCGGTCCCCGCGTTCCTCCCTTCCTTCCTTCCTTCCTTCCTTCCTTCCTTCCTTCCTCCCCTTTCTCCTCCCGTTCCTCCCTCCTCCCGTCACCCCCCTCACTTTGGCACACCCCTCACACGTTCCGTAGCCCCATAGGGAGAACCTGGGGGAACCCAAAAGATACCGCCGCTCGCATGTTCTTGGGACCTCGTCGACGTGGGTCCAAGACGTGGTCGGGGCGGCCGAGGCTCGCTCCGAGGCCAAACGAGGACGAGAGGGGAGAGGAAGCCGGCGCCGTCGCTCCCACGCAAGAGCGGCCCTGGGCAAGAGTGCTCTCTGGGGGGGCCAAATCCAGGCGCTCGAGCCAGTGCGGCGGGGGGGGGTCCCGTGGGCCCGCACGGAGGTGACTCTGGCGAAGGGCCACTCCTGCGCGGAGCCGAGGATGGGTGCCCCTGCTCCTCAGACCACTCCCCCGGGGTGCGCCCTGTCCATGGTTCCGAGGCGAACCCGGCCGTGGCGACGAGGCCCTCCCAGGAGGCCCAAAGAGGCGAAAACGAGGAAAGCGAGCATCGTTGATCCGATCCCTACCCCCTGCGGCGTGGCCTGGGCCCCACTGGCCGATTTACCCCCCTAGATGGGGAGATAGGCCGTTCCCTTCGGGCTTCGAGGGGCATATCCCCAACGGGGGGGGGGGGAGGGAATTTGGTGGGGGTCCCGAAGGGGGTGGGGATGGGGATCAGGGTCGGTTGAACGATACTGAGAAAGGGGGGCGGGATCGCTGGCGGCATCGGTGGCGGGATCTGTGGCGGGATCGGTACCTTTCCCTCCTCTGGGAGCCAGCCGGCGGGCTCCTCGATGCGGCCGCGGATGCGCTGCTCGTCCGCGAGGCGCGCCACCTCCACCACGGCCACCGCGGCGCCGACGCCCAGCTGCGCCAGGCGCCGCGAGCGCGTGGAGCGGCCCGACGTGACCCAAGTCTGCCTCTCGGGCGCGGCCTGGCCGGCCCCATTCTGCGACGAGCACCTTCCGTGACGCCCCCCGCGCCCTCCGGGCCTCCCCCTGCGGCCGCACAACACGTGCGTCCTGGGGCGAGGCGAGGAGGGACGCCACGGGAGGGCGATGGTTTTTGCCAAGGGCCGGCGAGGCCGCCCAGGAGCCTCTCACGAGCCCCGGGCGTCATACCCTCAGAGGTCGACCCGCAGAGGCCTCGACCCCTTCTAGACACAAGCGCATGCCACTGCTCGCAGAGCCACCACACGCAGGTGGCCTGAATCCGCCGCAGGGGATCTGCGATCCATTACAGGGCAGTTTTTGATACATAGGATTTTTTAAAATAGGATTTTGATACATGATTAATGTATGAATAAATTGATGCATGGACTCATCGTTGTTTTTAATCATAAATCCCTGCATTCTTGATACATGATCCGCACGCGGAGCATGTATTAAAAACGGCACTGTACACGCAAGTGGCCTGAATCCGCCGCAGGGGATCTGCGATCCATTATGTTGAAGTAAGCATCTGTGTCCCAGACGCTTGCGAGAGGGCACTTTGGGAGCAGTGGAACTCGCTCAAAGACATTCCCTGGGACCGATTTTTCGCCCCGGGCCGGTTTTTGACGGCCCCAAAGGCCGGTGAGGGACCCCAGGGGTCTGCCTTCGGGTTTCCTACTGGCCCAGGCCAGCGCAAACCCGGGTCATTCAGGTTTCCTGCAAAATCCTGCAAAATCCTGCAGGATATCCTGCAGGATCCTGCGCGCAAACCCAGGTCCGTGCACCCCTGGCTCCGCAGGATCCTGCAAGATCTGGCGCTCTGGCTGACCTGTGAGAAAGATCTTCTGCACGGGACTGTGGAACATGTCGGATTCTTCCCAAACCAGGTTGCCTGAGTGGGTCTCGGGACCCTACTTTGCCCCTTGCTCGGAGATCCCGTCTGCATGGACCCCCCTCTCAAGAAGCCCGTTAGGTCGGGCATGTCCTCCTACAGGCGGATGGTTGGGAGAACATGGTCAAATACAAAATAGTCAAATACAAAATGGTCAAAGATAATCGGAAAATCGCGCCCACACTACATTTTTGCCTATTCTTGACTGCTCCTCCTGTAGAAAGGGGCATGCCCGACCTCGGACGCCCGCTGCCTCCCGACCGTGTGCTCCTCGGGCATGCGACGTCCTGACTGTTGCAACACGGGGTCCCTGGAAGTCCCGACCATTCTCCGGAACCAGGTTTTCATCCATTGGTTCCCGACCATTCTCCAGAACCAGTGCACCACAATTCTCTGGCGCAACACATGTGCAGTACACTTGCCCCAAAATCTATTGCACCACCCCCTTTCAGCTGGACCCCCTCTTGTCGGGCGTTGGTAGCACTGGGTTTAGTTGAGCCTGGTTTAGCGATCTGTACCGGGGGCGCCCCCCCGTCCCATTTCCACTAATCGGAACTGCCATCACCCGAAGAAACACCAGCTATGGCAGACCTGGTTCAGTGATGCTGGCCCATCCGAAGGCTCCGGGGCCCTGCCACTCATCGGGCCCCCTTCCCCGGGGCCCTGGCCATCTACCTGGTCTTGCGCCGCAGGGCTTCTCCCACGACGCGAGCATGTCTGGGCCCCCATGCCTCTCGGGGATCTTCTGACCCGGGTGAATCCAGACCCGGGTCAGCAGGAAACCGAAAACTGCAACGCAAGAAAAAAAACTGCAACGCAGATCTTCGCAAACCCGGGTCAGCCAACATGCGCGGCCGCCTCGCGGCCACGAGCGGCTCGCTAACCCAGGTCAGCCAGAGGGGGTCTTCGCAGGATCCTGCAAGATCTGGCGCTCTGCCTGACCCCCTTGGCATTGACCCCCGTCTCAAGGCTCCCGAGCCTCACGACCGTGTACTCGCCCGGCCCGTCGTCGCCCGCGGGCGCCGCGCCCGCGCCCGCCGCCGCCGCGCGGCCCTCCCCGCCCGCGCCGCCGCCTGGCCCAGCGGCCGCCGGCGCGGCGCCGCCCGCCTCGCGGGCGCCCGCCCCGCCGCCGGGCACGGGCTCCGGAGGCCCTGCCGCCTCGCCGGCCCGCGCCGCGGCCTCGGCCTCGGGCCCCCCTTCGAGTCGGGAAGGAAAGTAATGAGAATAAGAAGAACGAGAATAAGAAGAAGTATAATAATAACAACGAGAAGAATAATGATAGTTATAATTGTCCAAAATAATAAAGAACAACAAAAAAAGAGAGCACTCAAGCAAAATCATAGGAAAGTCCTCCCCTGACTTTTACCATTCTTGCGCATTCCTCCTATGGAGGGACGTGCACGCCTTGAGCATGTCCCCCATTCGCCGCGGGCCCGGGGCCCCGTGGAGATGCCACAGATGAAAACCACGCCAAGGTGGAGAGCCCAGACACGAAGAACACTTCTACAGTAGGAGCTCGACCACAAGAAGCCTGCCACAAGAAGCCCAGCCCTGAGACCCCAGGACGTCCATTGGTCTTTGGTGTGGGGACGTCGCGCTTTCCATAGCTAAACCATCAAAACCCAAGAAACCCAGGGCACCCTCGAGGCGAGCAGGGTGTTTCTGGGCATGGGTCTCCACTGTAACGCGACGAAGGGTTTTTCGCTGCAGTCGAGGCGTAGAATAAGGATGCACGGTAAGGATGCGAGGGCCTAGGGAGGCCATGTACACACCTTTCGAGCGGGGCGCGGCCAGCGAGAGTGGCCACGGATGGGCCGAAAGGGCAAGGATGCAAGGGTAGGAGAGCGTCTCTTTATGTTCGGCGATGACGGGCGTCATGGGGGGGGGGGCGGGGGGGGGTATAACGTAACGCCCCCCCCCCCCCGCCGTGTCGCTCCGGCACCACAGCCGCGCCCGCGCGCACGACGCGACGAGCGACAAGCGACGACGACGACGACGACGCGAGCAGCATGTAGGTGGCGATCTGCCCCCCTGCGCCTGTGTACACCACAACGTTCGCGTGCACCACAGCGCGCGTGTACACCACAGCGCCAACGTACATCGCAACAACCGTGTGCAACGCAGCGCCTGTGTACACTGCAGTGCTTGCGTACACTACAGCGCCGGTGCACATGTGCACACCGGAGGCAACCATGTGCAACACAGCGCCTGTGTACACCACAGTGCTTGCGTGCACCACGGCGCCTGTGCACGCCACAGCGCCTGTCTACACCACAGCATCCGCGTGCAACGCAGCGCTATTGTACACAATAGTGCCTGCGTGCATAGGACAAGCAGAAGGAGCCTATACGGGACGATCTGCTGCGGAAGGACTCGTAGATTCCCCTGGCGCTCCCTTGTCCATAGGATTATTTTCTTGTGTTTTCGGTGGAATCCACAAACGCTCCATTTTGTCATAACGATTCTTTCTAACATTCTACATACAACACTGGTGCTGTGTTGCGCACGGTTGCTGTGGTGCACACAAGCGCCGTGGTGTACACAGGCACTGCAATGCACGCAGCCATTGTGGTGCACATTGCTGTGTTGCACACGGCTGATGTGGCGTACGCAGGCGCTGCGGTGTACACAAGAGCTGTTGTGCCCGCACGCGCGGTGGCACAAACTGACGCTGTGTTGCACGCGGCTGCTGTGGTGTGCATAGGCGGTGTGGTGTACACAGGCGCCGTGGTGCACGCAAGCACTGAGGTGTACACAGGCGTTGTGGTGCAGATCGCCACTTACATGCTGGTGCCACCCGTCCTCCGTTACTACTAAGCATTCCCAGGCGCCGCCGGCGCGAAGCGCGACGTCATCGACCCCCTCCACCCCCCAAATGATTGCCGTCATCGGCCCGGAATAAAAAACAGGCTCCAGCCGCGTCCGCGCGCACGACGACGATGAGCGACGAGCGACGAGCCACGAGCCACGAGCCACGAGCGACGACGACGACGACGACGACGACGACGACGACGACGACGACGACGACGACGACGACGACGACTGCGGACCAGATTCCTATGCAGATTGATTTCTACGCGGACACCTACGCGGATCCCAATACGCACGGCGGCAGTGCCCGGAGCGCACTGGGGGGGGGAGCGTTACGTCATAGGGGGGGGGGGGGGGGCCATGACGCCCGTCATGCCCCAAGCAATAAAGAAATGGTCTCCAGTTGGCCTGTAAGAAAGCTGCTCCTCCCTACTGTGCGCTTCGACGGTATCTTCAGCCCCTGGGGGGCCTCCCACCGAGCCCCGGGACCGTTCAAGATCGGCTCGGGAGGAAGCACCCGTCCATGGGGCCGGGGCCGAGAGCTCTGGGGCTCGACGCCGCGAAGGGATCGTGGCGCCGGGAGGACCCGCCGCGGCCTCCGCCTCCCGCTTCTCCCGCACGAGCGCGTCCAGCTCCTCGCTCTTGCGCCGGAGCTCCCGCTCCTGCAGCCGCTCCCGCTCCTGCAGCAGCCTGACTACCGACCAGCCCACTCTCCAACGCAACCCGAAGACCCCAATTTCGGGTGGGGGGGGGTACGGGTTCCTGCGGAACGGGACAATGACCACAGCCACTGCTTCTTGTTTGCGCCGCCTTCCAGCCGGCCGAAAAAGAAGCAGTGGTTGTGGTCATTTCCCTGGTGCCAAGCTTAACGAAAATGACCACAACCACTGCTTTGTTTCTGCTGACTGGTAGGCGGCAACAAAAGAAAAGCAGTGGCTGTGGTCGTTTTCACGTCCCGTAGTTCCATAGGTGTTTTTTCATCGCTCCCCGACCCCTCCCCCCCACCCAAAATGGCGGGCAAAAATCGAGGCCTTCGGGTTGGGTTGGGGTGTGGCTTGGCGGGCGGTGACAGCCGGCAGCTGTGCTCCGCGGCCAGGCGCTGCTCCCGCGCCGCGGACAGCTGCTCCTCGCTGGCGCGCCGCAGGTCGCGGTGCTGGAGCTCCAGCTCCTCGAGCCGCGCCTGGGCCGCGCGCCGCTCCTCCAGGGCCCGCTCCTCCGCGGCGTGGCGCTGGCCCGCCCGCTCGAGCTCCTCCCGCAGCCGCGCGCAGAGCAGCTCGCTGTCGGCGCGCTCCCGCCGCAGCTGCTCCTCGAGCTGGCCCTTCTCGCAGGAGAGCCTCGCGATGACGTCCTGCTTGGACTGCTCGTTCCTCGTGGCCTGGGTCTGCACCAGCTTGCACCTCGAGGCGAACTCCAGGGTGCTGACCGTCTCGTCCAGGCTGTCCCGCGAGGGGCTCACGCAGGCGAGGAGCGCCGTGAGGCTGTTGCCCATGAGCGCATCCTTGAGCAGCAGCGTCAGCTTGGAGTCGCGGAAGGGCGGCAGGCTCCTGCCGCCAGGCCTGGTGAGGTCCGAGATCACCCGCCCCAGCGTCGTGAGGGACTTGTTGATGCTGATGCCCTCCTTGAGCCGGTCGCCGCGCGCGCCCGTCTTCTTCTGGCGCTCGCTGCCCGCCAGGTCCACGAAGTGGACCTTGGCCCAGCTCTCGGTCTCCCCGGCGCCATCGCTTCCGGGCAGCACCATGTGCACCTGCACGGTGAACACTGCGTGCGAGCGCGAGGAGGTCGCGTTCATCTGCGTCGCCGCGGTGGCGCGCCGCTTCGCGCCGAAGTCCAGCAGGGCCAGCGCGTCGCCCCCCCCCTCCACGGGGCACTCGGACAAGCCCGGCACCACCGCGCCGAGCCCCGGGTGGAGCCGGACCTGCAGCTCCCCGCGCTCGTCGCGGCCCCCGGAGAGGATAGGGGAACGGAGACTGACAGAAACAGCAATACTCGGAGCTCCGCGCGGATTTCCCTGATCCGCGCTGGACCCCCTCCCTGGCGCGAGGAGCGCGCCGGCCGGGGCGGCGCCAACAGGCGCCACCCGGAGGGTCCCGCGCGGATCCGAGAAATCCGCGCGGACCTCCGAGTTTGTATGTTTATGTCATGCTTCGTTCCCCTCGAGGAGGTCGAACAGCCTCTCGTTGTAGATCTCCAGGTAGCTCGCCAGCACGTTGGCCTGCAGGCCGGGCTGGCCCTGGCGCCTTGCCGCCAGCATCTGGAACAGGCGCGCGCAGGCGCGCGGCAGCAGCCCCTGCTCGGCCTCGCTGTGCACGCTGCCCACCACGCTGTGGCTCTTGCCGGAGCCCGTCTGGCCGTAGGCGAAGATGCAGCCGTTGTAGGCGTCGAGCGCGTTGGCGAGCAGCCTGGCCCCGACGGCCTCGAACACCTCTTCCTGAGTCGCCTGCGAGTCGAAGACGTGGTCGTAGCCGAACGCCTACTGGGGAAACGGAAAGGTACCGATGCCGCACCAGACCTCTCTCGGGGTGCGCTCGGACCAGAATTCTGAGGCGAAGCCAGCCGTGACGACGAGGGCCTTCCAGGAGGCCCCAAAAAAAGCGAAAGCGAGGCCAAGGCAACGGCATCGGTACCTTCTTCGAGTCGGGGTTCGACTAGACAGAATTCATGTACCCCAAAATTGGCTTCGCCGCTCACACGTTTCGTGGCCCCATAGGGAGCTCCACCGACGGCCCCAGTGGCTGTGTTCGCATGCGCCCGCCGCACCCATGTCGGCACACCCCTCACACGCTTTGTGGCCCCATAGGGAGCTCCACCGAAGGCACCAGTGGCTGCGCTCACATGCGCCTGCTGCACACGTTTATATACACACTCCTCTCACACGTTCCGTAGCCCCACAGGGAGCTCCACCGAAGGCCCCAGTGGCTGCGCCCGCATGCGCCAGCCGCACCCATTTCGGCACACCTCTCACACACGTTTAGTGACCCCACAGGGAGCTCCACCGACGGCCCAGTGACTGCGTTCGCATGCGCCCGCCGCACCCATATCGGCACACCCCTCACACGTTGTGGCCCCACAGGGAGCTCCACCGAAGGCCCCAGTGGCTGCGTTCGCATGCGCCCGCCGCACCCATATCGGCACACCCCTCTCACGCTCCTTAGCCCAATAGGCACTCACAACTGCATATGGTTGGGTCCTTCGCCAGGCTAATTGTGTGGTCGATCCACAATTCGACTTCTCCTCCCCCGAACCTTGGGGATATACTGACCCGGGCAATCCAGGCCTTCCAGGATCCTGCAGGATCCTGCACCCAAGCCCAGGTCAGTGCGACCCTGGCCCTGCAGGATCCTGCAGGATCTGGCGCTCTGGGGGGCGTTTTCTTATTCGGCGTTTCACCATTGGGCGGAAGGGGGGGGAAGGGGGTCTGGCGCGACTGTTTGCAGCAGTGCGGCCGATGGGGGAGGAACCCCACCTGCCTGAAACAGGCGCCAAAAACGGCCAAGATCTGCTGCACGAGAGGGGGGGGGGCTGCGAGGGCCCGCGCCGATCGGCAAAACAAGAAATACAAAAACGATCCCCTGACTGACCCCCGTTCGCACTGACCCCCGTCTCTCCAGCCCCGCGAGCTGAAGGGGCCCCAGGACACACAAATGAATACACACTAATAAAAGGATCCCCCATATTTTCCCATATGTTCTGGGTTTCTGTCCTCCCCCCCACTGCCCATATGTTCCCACATTCTCTGGGGGATCGAAGATTAATTGTGTCTGTGTGTTTTTTTCCCTCCTGAGCTGAAGGGGCCCCAGGACACACAAATCAATACACACAAGTAAAAGGATCCCCCATCTTTTCCCATATTTTCTGGGCTTCTGTCCTCCCCCCCACACTGCCCATATGTTCCCATATTTTCTGGGGAAGCGACGATGAATTGTTCCCCAAACAGCTTGCTGAACGGGGTGCTGTTGTGATAGAAGCTAATTCCGGCCGAGGGAAAGCTAAGCAGAGACATCCTCAAACAAATGTGGTGGTCCGGCCCGTTTCGCCTGAGACATCCTCACAACTCTCGTTTCTGAGTTGTCCGGGATTGAGCGTTTCGCCTGAGACATCCTCCTAAATCTGAGCTCTGAGAGGCCGCGCGAGAGGTGGTCCGGGCCGTTTCGCTTGAGACATCCTCGAAACTCTGAGCTCCCAGATGCCGCGCGAGAGGTGGTCCGGGCCGTTTCGCCTGAGACATCCTCGCAACTCTGAGCTCCAAGATGCCGCGCGCGAGGTGGTCCGGCCCGTTTCGCCTGAGACATCCTCGAAACTCTGATCTCCCCGATGCCGCGCGCGAGGTGGTCCGGCCCGTTTCGCCTGAGACATCCTCGAACTTCTGAGCTCTGAGATGCCCTGCGCGAGGTGGTCCGGCCCGTCTCGCCTGAGAAATCCTTGCAACTCTGAGATCTGAGATGCCGTGCGCAAGGTGGTCCGGCCTGTTTCGCACAAGATATTCTCGCAACTCTGAGCTCTCAGATGCTGCGCAAGAGGTGGTCCAGCCTGGGGGCCCAGAAGGCCACATGTTACATATCCTCCATGGGACCCTGCGAGCCTCAGGAGGCCCCAGAGAGGTCCAGGAGGCCGCAGGACGCCCAGGACAGGCCCCAGGGGCCCCCAGGAGATTCCCAGGAGGCCCCAGGAGGCCCTCTATCAGAACGTGTCAAGTTAATACACATCCGGTGTCGATTCGTTGATTTTTCCTGCTCTTGTGCCCCCCCCTCCATTTGGAGGGGCCCAAGCGGCCACAGGTTAGATATCCCCCCTGGGAGCCCCAAGATGCTTCAGGAAACCTCAGGTGGAGTTCAGGAGGCCACAGGAGGCCCAGGAGGAAGCTCCAGGAGGTCCCCAGGAGGCCCAGGAGGCACCAGGAGGCCGCAGGACGCCCAGGACAGGCCCCAGGGGTCTCCAGGAGATTCCCAGGAGGCTCCCAGGAGGCCCCAGGAGGCCGCTTATCAGAACGTGTCAAGTTAATACACATCCGGTGTCGATTCGTTGATTTTTCCTGCTCTTGTGCCCCCCCCCCCTCCATTTGGAGAGGCCCAAACGGCCACAGGTTAGATATCCCCCCTGGGAGCCCCAAGAGGCTTCAGGAAACCCCAGGTGGAGTTCACGAGGCCACAGGAGGCCCAGGAGGAAGCTCCAGGAGGTCCCCAGGAGGCCCCAGGAGGCACCAGGAGGCCCCCGCAACTCGGAGCTCTGAGACGCCGCGCTCGAGGTGGTCCAGCCCGTTTCGCCTGAGACTTCCTCGCAGCACGTTTCGCCCGAGACATCGTCGCAACTCTGGGGTCCGAGATGCCGCGCGCGAGGTGGTCCAGCCCGTTACGCTGGAGACATCCTCGCAACTCTAGGCTCCGAAATGCCGTTCGCGATGAAGAAGAGGTGGAGGAGGAGGAGGAGGAGGAGGAGGAGGAGGAGGAGGAGGAGATGGAAGGGAGAAGGAGGAGGCGGATGATGTGCATGAGGGAGCAGGCAGGAGGAGGGGGAGGTCCCAGAGAGCTTCAGGAGGCCGCAGGACGCCCAGGACAGGCCCCAGGGGTCCGCAGGAGATTCCCAGGAGGCTCCCAGGAGGCCCCAGGAGGCCCTCTATCAGAACGTGTCAAGTTAATACACATCCGGTGTCGATTCGTTGATTTTTCCTGCTCCTGTGGCCCCCCCCTGTATTTGGAGAGGCCCAAACGGCCACAGGTTAGATATCCCCCCTGGGAGCCCCAAGATGCTTCAGGAAACCTCAGGTGGAGTTCAGGAGGCCACAGGAGGCCCGGGAGGAAGCCCCAGGAGGTCCCCAGGAGGCCCCAGGAGGCACCAGGAGGCCCCCGCAACTCGGAGCTCTGAGACGCCGCGCTCGAGGTGGTCCGGCCCGTTTCGCCTGAGACTTCCTCGCAGCACGTTTCGCCCGAGACATCGTCGCAACTCTGGGGTCCGAAATGCCGCGCGCGAGGTGGTCCAGCCCGTTACGCTGGAGACATCCTCGCAACTCTGGGTTCCGAGATGCCTTTCGGGATGAAGAGGAGGTGGACGAGGAGGAGGAGGAGGAGGAGGATGTTTTAACATGCCATGCCAGCCCGCACTAGGCGGGCACGCAATCGACCTTGGAAACCGCAGTGGGTCTAAAAACCCTGTTTGGGGATACTGCACTCCGGCTAATGTCTCTGTGTGTTTTTCTCCCCTCCTGAGCGAGCCTTCCCCTCGGCGTGGCCCGGGCTGCCGTCGAGGCCGGCGCCGTGGCCGCAGACGCGCACCGCCTGCGCTGTGCACTCCAGCGGCGGCGCCGCGGCGCCCGCCGGGCCGTCCTGCTCGCGCGCCAGGAGGGGCCGGACGCGCACCACGACCTGGATGCTGGTGCTGGCGGTCGGCTCTCGGGCGCGCCGAGGAGGTGGGCTGCAGTGGGGGCGTCGGCCCAAGGGAGCCCCCAAGGAAGGAGCGAGGGCCCCCTCTCTTCCGTGAGCGTGGAGCTGCGATGTCTGTCCCATCGAAGGCCTCAGGGAGGCCAGAGGCGGACTGTGAGACAACTGGGGAACACGGAGCCCCTCTCAAACGAAAAGGGCAGCTTCTCCAGCGCCCCGACTGTGAGGGGCCACGTTGGGGAGGGGGCGGGTTCGGGGAGGAGCTCGCGCGGAGCCCCCTCCCCAGGCAGGCTCGCGTGGCGGAAGAGCACGAGGGCCATGTCCGAGCCTCGGCGTCAAACAAAACGCTTGTTCCCCATATCCTAAGATGGGGTTCTTGTTATTACTTGGACGCCTCCTACTCACTCTCCCTCCTCCTCTTTCCTCCTCCCCTCCTGTCGGAGTTACTCATACTCAGACTTGCTCATACCCAGACTTGCTCATACACAGACTTACTCATACTCAGATACTCTCATACTCAGATCTACTCATACTCAGACCTACTCTTACTCAGACATACTCATACTCAGACTTACTCATACTCAGACATACTCATATTCAGGCATATTCATACTCAGACCTACTCATACTCAGACTTACTCATACTCAAACTTACTCATACTCGGACATTCTCATACCCAGACGTACTCATACTCAGACTTACTCACACTCAGACATATCATAACTCAGACTTACTCATACTCAGATTTACTCATACCCAGGCGTACTCATACTCAGACTTACTCATAGTCTGAGTCTTACTCAACACACAGCAGATTGTGAGGATGTCTCAGGCGGGGCGCTGGTTTCAGCACCCCTAAGGGGAGCCACCAGGGGTGGTTGCACGGGCTCGTTCGCGGCCATTTTGCGGGGATGTCTCAGGCGGTTTGCTTGTTTCTGGGCCCAACATCCTTCGCTTGGAGAGCAGATTGTGAGGATGTCTCAGGCGGGGCGCTGGTTTCAGCACCCCTAAGGGGAGCCGCCAGGGGTGGTTGCACGGGCTCGTTCGCGGCCATTTTGTGGGGATGTCTCAGGCGGTTTGCTTGTTTCTGGGCCCAACATCCTTCGCTTTCGGAGCAGATTTGGAGGATGTCTCAGCGAGGCGCTGGTTTCAGCACCCCTAAGGGGAGCCGCCAGGGGTGGTTGCACGGGCTCGTTCGCGGCCATTTTGTGGGGATGTCTCAGGCGGTTTGCTTGTTTCTGGGCCCAACATCCTTCGCTTGGAGAGCAGATTGTGAGGATGTCTCAGGCGGGGCGCTGGTTTCAGCACCCCTAAGGGGAGCCGCCAGGGGTGGTTGCACGGGCTCGTTCGCGGCCATTTTGTGGGGATGTCTCAGGCGGTTTGCTTGTTTCTGGGCCCAACATCCTTCGCTTGGGGAGCAAATTGTGAGGATGTCTCAGGCGGGGCGCTGGTTTCAGCACCCCTAAGGGGATGCCAGGGGTGGTTGCACGGGCTCGTTCGCGGCCATTTTGTGGGGATGTCTCAGCGGTTTGCTTGTTTCTGGGCCCAACACCCTTCGCTTGGGGGGCAAATTGTGAGGATGTCTCAGGCGGGGCGCTGGTTTCAGCACCCCTAAGGGGAGCCGCCAGGGGTGGTTGCACGGGCTCGTCGCGGTTATTTTGCGGGGATGTCTCAGGCGGTTTGCTTGTTTCTGGGCCCAACATCCTTCGCTTGGGGAGCAAATTGTGAGGATGTCTCAGGCGGGGCGCTGGTTTCAGCACCCCTAAGGGGAGCCGCCAGGGGTGGTTGCACGGGCTCGTTCGCGGCCATTTTGTGGGGATGTCTCAGGCGGTTTGCTTGTTTCTGGGCCCAACATCCTTCGCTTGGAGAGCAGATTGTGAGGATGTCTCAGGCGGGGCGCTGGTTTCAGCACCCCTAAGGGGAGCCGCCAGGGGTGGTTGCACGGGCTCGTTCGCGGCCATTTTGTGGGGATGTCTCAGGCGGTTTGCTTGTTTCTGGGCCCAACATCCTTCGCTTGGAGAGCAGATTGTGAGGATGTCTCAGGCGGGGCGCTGGTTTCAGCACCCCTAAGGGGAGCCGCCAGGGGTGGTTGCACGGGCTCGTTCGCGGCCATTTTGTGGGGATGTCTCAGGCGGTTTGCTTGTTTCTCGTGGCACTATCCTCCAACATGACATGCACTTATGGCCTTGTGTGGCTAAACGCTCGTCTTACATATCCCACTGCCAACTATCCTACAACATATGCACATGTGGGAAGCTCCAAAGCTACCACGGGCTGAAAATGGGAAGGCCTGGCAGCTGAGGAGGGGGGATGAAGAGGAAGAGGCTCGCATTCAACCATACTCAAAGCTCACTCTGGCTCATACGCAATCACTCACATTAGGGGTCACTCGTTTTCGTCGGCCCTGTCGCCCACGTGGACGCGCTATTGTAGTCGACCGCTCATGAACAGACGCTCACCACGGCATGACATAAAACATGAGATGCACAGATGGGGAGCTCCACGCAGTGAGTAATCCCACCAGCCCTTTGGGCGTGAGTGGTTTAGCGAGCCCTCTCTGTTCTCAACCCCCCTTCTTCCCCTTCGGGGAGGGGTTTACCCCTCCCCCTACCCCCTCCCCCTGGGCCTGGAAGGGCGCCTCGCGGGTCGTCAGGGGGGTCATGTTCGACTCCTGGGAGGGCTAAAAAACGACACCCCTCACGAGGATTCTGGCCCCGACGGGGGGAGGCAGAAAAAAACACTCTCCTCTTCTTTGAAGCCAAAATCATTGATTTTACTAAGGTTTTGGCCCCATTTTCGCCTTCTGAGGGGGCAGCGCTCATTAAAGCTCCCCTCTTCTTTCCAGGCAAAATCATTGAATTTACGAAGGTGTTGGGCTCATTTTGCCCTTCTGAGGGGGCAGCGCTCATTAAAGCTCCCCTCTTCTTAGATCGATTCCCTCCAAGATGGCCCCAAGAAGCGCCCAGGAGGCACCAAGAGGCCCCAAGATGGCCCCAAGAGGCCCCCATGAGGCCCCCTATGAAGCCTCCAAGAGGCCCCCAAGATGCCCCCAAGAGGTCCCCAAGAGGCCCCAAGAGGCTCCCCCGAGGCACCCAAGACGCTCCTGGAAGCCCCTGGGGCCGCCAAGAGGCCCCCAAGACGCCCCAAACGGCCTCCAAGAGGCTCCCAAGAGGCCCGAAGAGGCTCCCCCAAGGCACCCAAGACGCTCCTAGAAGCCCCTGGGGCCGCCAAGAGGCCCCCAAGACGCCCCAAAAGGGGACGAGGTGCCCGAACGCCTCACGCCACGAGGAGCCCGAACGACTCACACCAGGACGAGGGGCCCGAACGACTCACACCACGAAGAGCCCGAACGACTCACACCAGAAGGAGGGGCCCGAACGACTCACACCAGGACGAGGCGCCCGAACGACTCACACCACGAGGAGCCCGAACGACTCACACCACGACGAGGGCCCCGAACGACTCACACCACGAGGAGCCCGAACGAGTCACACCAGGAGGAGGGGCCCGAACGACTCACACCAGGACGAGGGGCCCGAACAACTCACACCACGAGAAGCCCGAACGACTCACACCAGGACGAAGAGCCCGAACGACTCACACCACGAAGAGCCCGAACGACTCACACCAGGAAGAAGGGCCCGAACGACTCACACCAGGACGAGAAACCCCAAACGACTCAAACCACGACGAGCGCTTTCTCTCCCTCCTCCTCCGCCTCGTCCTTCTCCCGCTCCCCCCACAAGGAGGATGTACAAGGAGGTGGGAGGAAGGAGTAACAGGGGAGATATGCGGGGCCAAGCGGACACACGCCTGAAAAACACGACTGTCGGCATGCTTCGCAAGAGTTGCTGTTGTGAGATGGGCTGGTGGGGATACGCGAAGCGTAAAGAATTATTTTGTTTGTTCATGTGTTACATATATATATACATTTATAAATATATAAAAACATATCTAGATATAGCGATGTATACACATAAATCAGGACCCCCTAGGGAAAGGGTCAGGACTTTCGGGGGGGCGATATCAAAACACGTCATCACATGCCTGGCACTCTCCAAGATTGAGGGACAACTTCAGGAGGGGCCCCGCTGAGAGGGGGGGGGGAAGAAGGAGCGAGCTGGACTCGGCAACGCCTCGCCGACGGATCGGCGGCAGGCCCCGCGGGCAGCGATTCCGCACGTTCCCGGGGGCGGGGGCGGCCTCTCTATATCGGGCCTCTGGCCCAGGGTGCCCCCCGGGAGTCCCGTGAAGAGGCCCAGACGGCCTCCAGAGCAGCGCCCACGACAGGGGAACGAAAAGTGGCATAGACATAAAAGCTAGGAGGTCCGCGCGGATTTCTCGGATCGGCGCTGGGGCCCCCCGGCGGCGCCTCCGGCGCCGCCCCTAGCGCGCTCCGCGCGCCAGGGAGGGGGGTCCAGCGCCGATCCGAGAAATCCGCGTGGACCTCCGAGTTTTTATGTTTATGCCACTTTTCGTTCCCCTACACGAGGCCCGCAGGGCCAGAGGGGCTCCACAATGGCGCGAAAAGCTGCGGACGCCTCGTGCCAGGACTAGTTCTAGCAACACCCGAGCGAGGGGGGGGATAGGGAAGCGCACCGAGAGAGGGAGAGGGGGCGGCATGAGATCTATGAGATCTCACTGGCCCAGCCGTGATATCTACACACAGATAGACCTTGATCCCTAGCCCTAGGGCTCCCGACCCCTTCCCCGGGCTCAATTCCGTCCCGGTTCCCAGTTTGACTGCTCCAGTGCCCAAGAACCTGCCCCCGGGGCCGAATCGAGGAGAAGCGCCCCGATGGAATAAATCGAATCCTCGGAGATCTGGGCCTACCTAGAGGCCTCCCAAATGGGTTCCGAGAACATGGGATCGGAAGATAGTGCCGCATCGCCCATGCATCACCGATGCATCGGCGGAGCGTCGGCGACGTCGGTGATGCATCGG